ACTTTTTATTTTGTTTAAAGTTGGAGAAAAATGGGTCAGTCATTCTCAGAGCACCAGAGGACAGGAATTATGACTTTCTGGAACATTATTATTAATGATTTCCATTATTAACAAAGTCCTTGTGATAATCTAAGTGGGTAGAAAGTTAAATTTTGGCTGGCAAATAATTCTCACTGAAGAGGGTCTTGCAGTGTTCCGCTGTTGTTTCCTTTCGCTCCCCTCCAAGTTACGACCCTTTGGGAATTGCCTGCCATACATGCTCTGCACATTTTGTGCTGGCATTTTTGCTAGATTTGTGCACAGCTAAGGAAAGGTTTGTTCCATGTGCATGTGGCTAATCCAGCTGTGCCATGACAAGGGGCTAATGATGCACTTGTGCTGAGCCCCTGCCTTACCTTATCCCTGGCAAAACCTTAAGGTGCAAAAACATCAAGGAGGGCTGTTGTGCTCATTGGGAGGCATGCAGTAGGGATCCTGGTGCTGAAACACTTTGGGAGCTCAGGAATATGGTTTACTGCAAAGACAAGCCTGAGACGCTTATTGTCTCTTCTATTCTTTAGACCTGAAGGCAGGTCTATGGTGAAACTCCTTTGATTAGCTTGATAGGGACCTTGGCATCTATAGACAAATTCTTGAAAATGTACTCTCCCCTACCTGATGCTGTGTGTGCCACTCAAAGTTCCCCCAAATGTAAACCTTCTATAAAGGCAGGTAAGCCTTCCACAAGCCCTTCTGTTACAACAAATATGTTTGAAACGATTTTTGAAAGTGCAAAGAAGAATATTTTCTCAAAACCGAACTCACACCCGCTGACTGCACACAAAGCAAATATTCAGCTGCAATCTAAGTCCATCTCCCGATATTGTAACGTACCATAAACAGCTCCGCTAGATTACAGAGTCACTCCAGCAAAGAACTAGAAGCATCTATGCTGCTATTGTTTTTGGGTGGAGATTTTGCAAATGGAACTAATGCAGAACTAGCTGTCACTGCGGCTGTGCCCTGAGCTGTTGTCACAGAGAGCTCTGGAGCCCCACTGGCTCGCTGTTTTGTCTGCCTTCTCTTTGTGCCTGCATCTTAGCCAAAAAGAATGGGAAAATATAGGCCTCACAAAAGAAATTGAAATAATAATAAAATACATTGCTACTGTCATTGTAAGGGAGCCAGCAGAGAAAATCAAAGGCTGAAATTTCCTTTTGTTTGCCATTAGACAGTGTTGCATGATAATCTAAATTGTGCTTTGATACCAGTTTCAGTACTGATGAAAACATTTTAAAATGTTCATAATTATAAATGATGTAGCTATCCCAACTTGCAAAGAGTCTAATACACTCTCCAGTCACTGCCTATTTTGCTTGACAGCCCTGGTAATTGTATAGAAGACGGTTTTTAGAAATGCAATGGTCCATCATTTAAATGAGAAACACTCTTTTCTTAGAGAAGAGGGACAGTCTTGTGGCTAAGGTACTGGACCGAGACTCAGGAGACTGGTGCCCTTGAGCAAGTCACTTTGTCTCTCTCTGCTTCCATTCCTCATCTGCAAAACGAGGATAACAATCCTTCCTTCCCCCACCATTTGTCTGTCTTGACTATGCAGACTGTAAGCGCTTGGGGCAGGGCCTGGCTCTTACTATATGTTTGCAGAGCGCTTAGCACAATGGGACCTGGGCACAGCTGAGACCTCCAGGTGCTCGCCTAATAAACACAAAGATAATAGGAGAGTGTGACCTGGCAGGGTTTCTCCCCAGCTTCCAAGGATAGCCTGCCATGCCCAGGCTCCTTTAAGCAGGTTTACCAGCCAAATAAAAACAAACACAACAGTCCCTCAGCTCACCCTGTGTCCTAGGGTTTCATGGTCTCCCCTTCCCAGGGATCTCTGGTGTCCCTACTCCTTGCAGCTTCGCAGTCCCAGCCAGCAAACTTATCTTTCTGAAACACCAGCGCCAGGCTTCCTCTCTGAGCACCAGGCCCCCTGTTCCAGGGACCCTCCACTCCCCTGTGGTTTCTCTCCCCCCACACAGCCTGTCCCAATCACTCCTCCCCTTCCTGCCCTCTGACAGGCCTTTAGAGCCCCAGGGATAGCCCTGCTCCCTTTAACTGATTCAGTTGGGTCCAGCTGCTGTGACACAGGGGCGGTGGTCCTGATCTACTCACAGGGACCAGCTACTCCATGATAATGATGGCAGGAGAGAGATCACTTGATCATTACCTGTTAGGTTCACTCCCTCTGGGGCACCTGGCATTGGCCACTGTCGGTAGACAGGATACTGGGCTGGATGGACCTTTGGTCTGACCCAATATGGCCTTTCTTATGTTCTTATTTAAACTTAAATTTTCCGAAGAGGTAGGAAAACTGGTCATTTGTCCCTAAAACACAGGTCTGAGATTTGGGTGCCACGTTCTTTTTCTCATCTGAATGTGGAGGGGAGCCCCCAGAAATGGTGGGGGGAAGGCTGCCTCTGTGGCATTCTGCCCTCTTCCTCCTGACTGTGTGAAAACTCCCTGCCCTTCAGACACACAGGAGGCTGGGGGCAGAGGAGCTGGCTGAGCTCCTGTTGAATCTCAGTCTCCCAAGCACCGGAAGCAGCGGCCGGAGGCGGCACTCTGCTGGTTGGCCTCTCTGAGCTGTGGAACCTCCTTCTCTTTGGAGGGTGGCCAGAGGCAGCGAAAGGCTGTGAAGTCATTAGCGGTGCAGCTCCAATGGAGGGGCAGTGGGGCCCAGGGTACCTCAGAGCCAGCGTGGAGACACCCAGGGTATGCAGGGATGACAAGACTCCTGAGATGCAGCTAGTTGTTGGGGGACTCACCTGTACTGGGGTCTGAGCCCCTGGCTTCTTTCATGGAATCAGGCGCTAAAGCCCTCCCCAGACCCTCCTTAACGAAAATATCCCTGTGAATCTCTGCCAAGGGGGACAGCTGCCCTGCATGTCATTGAGTGACGCTGTGTGGGTGGCAGTGGTCCATGAGACACATACCCCTTTTGCAGTTATGGGGCTAAGTCCTGCTATGGGTCATGGCTGTGTAGTGCCTGCAGACCAATGCCCAGCATATAGGTGAACAGAGGGTTTCAATGACCCTGCCGGGTCCAGAGATGGATGTGGGAGAAGAGCCACTAGGATGAGCAGAAGAATGGAAAACCTGCCTTATGAGAGGAGACTTAAGGAACTTGGCTTGTTCGGCCTAACCAAACGAAGGCTGAGGGGAGATAGGACTGCTCTCTATGAATATATCAGAGGGACGAACACTAGGGAGGGAGAGGAGTTATTTAAGTTAAGGGCCAATGTTGGCACAGGAACAGATGGATGTAAACTGGCCATCAACAAATGTTTGCTTGAAATTAGGTGAAGGTTTATAACCATCAGAGGAGTGAAGTTCTGGAACAGCCTTCCAAGGGGAGTGGTGGGGCCAAAAAACCTAACTTGTTTTAAGAATGATCTTGATAAATGTATGGAAGGGGTGATATGCTGCGATTACCTACTATGGCATATGGCTCATCCGCGACTGCTATTAACAAATATCCCCAACGGCCAGTGATGGGACCCTAGATGGGGAGGGCTCTGAGTTACTACAGTGTGCCTGGTGGGTCTCGCCACCAGAGTCCAAGTGATCACCATATTTGGAGTCTGGAAGGAATTTTCCCCAAGGTCAGATTGGCAGAGACCCTGGGTGTTTTTTCACCTTCTTCTGCGGCATGGGGCACGGGTCACTTGCAGGTTTAAACTAGTGTAAATGGTGGATTCTCTGTAACTTGATGTCTTTAAAACAAGGTCTGAGGACTCCGGTAACTCAGCCAGCGGCTAGGGGGTCTATTACAGGAGTGGGTGGGTGAGGTTCTGTGGCCTGCAACGTGCAGGAGGTCAGATTAGATGATCATGATGGTCCCTTCTGGCTTTAAAGTCTATGTTTTGGGCCAGCATCCAGAGGAAGCAGTATTGTCATCGGGACTTCCTCAGGCTCAGGACAGCGGTCGACCCTCAGGGGTGAGCACAGGTCTCCAAGGGGCTCAGGGAGATAAGGGACATGTGGAAAGGAAAGCTGGAGAGCTTGCTCGTTTAGGGGTTGAGGGGGGAGGTTAGCATGGTAAGTGGATCTGCTCACCTTCACTCACTGCCAATTAAAAACCTATTCATGCTCTTTCCTGTTTTTCCCAGCAGGGATCTGGCCTCTGTGGCAGCCCCTGGGTTGCAGATGAGCCCTGGACAATGCCAGAGAGGTTACAGCAGACCATATGGTTGTGGCCAGTACAAGTGTTTCCTGGTTTTGAACTGTTAAATCATTCAATGGCCGTTTCCCAGTGTTTCTTCTGCGTGTGCCAAGGAAGACCAATCAGACCAGCTTCTCTTAAGCTGAGAAATGTCTGGTATAATGTTTTCCTTTCAAAATCTGCTAGTCACGTTTTTTTATATTGCACTTGGTCCATATTCTTGGTTGCAGTGTTTCCCAACGAAGCTGACACCAACTGAGCAGCACTTCACCTACTCTCTTGCCTGCCAGCAATCGGGGTGAAGGGTGCAGTGACCGTTCAGCAGCATGTCATGCGGTGGCCCTTATAAGAATCTCAGTGCAGTGAGTCCAGGGGCTGGGGATGTGTGTGTTGCACTTGCCTAGACCTTGCATATGGTCTTGTCAGGCCTAACTTTCAGCCTGTTCACACCTGCAGGGCTGTTGGAACCAGGAGTCATTCTGGAGCAATCCCATAGGCTCCACCGCCAGTGCACAATGACTTCTGGCCCACAGCCATTACTATAGCAGACATGGGTCATAGTTAGTAAAGGGATAAGCACAAAACAGATTAATAACAGCGAGGGCCTGATTCAAAGCTCACTGAAGTCAACGGGAGACTTTCCTTTGACTCCAATGATCTTCGGATCAGGTCCTTAATTTCCCAGTCTGGTTCTCATCAGAGCCCACAGAAACTGAGCAGGTCCTTCCCCAGAAAAGTTCCCCAAACAACCATTGCTTCTCTTCCACAGGTCCAAGCGTGGCAGAGTTCAACTCACACTTTATCTGTGCCATAGCTCCTGTAGTCGACCGCCGCTGACACGGCCACGATGAGCGCGGGCATTCCGTAGCCAACCAGATAGAAGTACTTCCTTCGCGAGTGTTCACTCTCAAACACCTCCACCAGCATGATGTACAGCTGCACCCCCTCCAGGAACATCCAGGTGAATGCCGCCAGGAAAAAGAAGTGCAGGAGGGCAGCAAACACAGCACAGGCAATCTGGGAGAGTCCAAAAAAACAAAACAAAACAGAGGCAGAGGTTTGCTCCCAAACATCGTAACAAAACCACTGATGTCCTTGGTTATTACACACAATACTAATCCTAGAATCTCTCTCTGTATGTGTATAAATATATATACACTGCTACCTCGATATAACGCAACCCGATATAACATGAATTCGGATATAACGCGGTAAAGCAGTGCTCCGGGGGGGTGGGACTGTGCACTCCGGTGGATGAAAGCAAGTTCAATATAATACGGTTTCACCTATAACACGGTAAGATTTTTTTGGCTCCCGAGGACAGCGTTATATCAAGGTAGAGGTGTACATGGCTGTAGTTTACACAAAGAAACTTATGTTCTATGCACATTATGCTAAGCATATCATTGGCTAAAACCCCTGTACCCAGCTCCTGCACTCTCACAGTATCAAACTGGATTCTTAGTAGGAGACATATTCAGATTCAAATCATTGAAGCAATTGTTCCCTGCTTCTTACTATCAATATAAAACAGGATTAACACACAGAAATATTCTAATGCCTTGGTTTAATAAATAGACATTATATGAGAACAAAAACTCAGATCACTTTAAATATCTTTATATTTAAAATATATATTTATATGAGAATGTATATTATTTATAAGTTATATATGTCTATAGTATATACATATGTATTATATACACGTTTGTATATATTCATATACATGTGCATGTGTATAATTCTCTATATAATGTAGATTTGTGTAATATATGTATTATACATGTATTGTTATATATAGACACATATTATTTACACATAGACACACACACATATATGCATGTGTTTGGATTTGACGGCTAACTGCCTCAATACATCAGGGGCTTGTGTTGAGGAATCATAAAGACCATGTTTCTATTTCTGATGCCTCTGTTGACTATTGTTGCGTGGGCAAGTTTCCAGATGTTGACATGCCATGTAAATGCTCTTGGGTGCTGTCAGCAGGGCCGGGCATATGCTGCGGGCTCCATTGCTCAGTAGTTTTAGTGAGGGGATGAGATAAGGGAATTAAAAACAAAAAGTCAGGGAAGAGGAATGTGAAAATACAGATTCCAGTGCAAGACCTTATTTCACACACATCCACTGAGATCAAACTGGCCCTGAACAAATACAGTGCTGGGAACAAGCCTGCACTGACAAGGGGATGGACAACATAACCTCAATGATCTCTGCAATCTTCAGCTTCTCCCCAGTGCCATGGGGCTCTAGCCCAGGATTTCTATTGTATTTTACCTGGCCAGGCGCTAGAGGAGCCCATGCGCCTACAAAGAGAGTGAACACATTGGTATACTACTGAAAAAAATGGTGAAAAGGTGAAAACTCCCTGCTGCAACAGCTTGCCAGTGAAAAAGGTGTCAGTAATAATGAGAATACACTAGCCAGGACTGAAGGAGTGCCCCTACCTTAGGGAAGAATCTCGTGGCTTTGAATATGGAGTATATGCAGTGGCTGTTTGGGGAAAATGAAGACTGGAACCCCGACAAAGCATATTTCTAGAGACACTCACCAAGGGGCGGGGATGCTTTTGCAAATGAGCATACCATTTCTAAATGGAATTTAAAAACACAAAGAACATGCCATTTGTCTATTTTTACATGGAGATAGAATTACTGAAATGTTTCGCCAATAAGGACACTGACACATGACTTGTGCTGGGGCTTTCCAAGGAACCTAAGGGAATAAGGCACCCAAACCATGTTAAAGGTCAACAGGAGTTGGACACCTAACTCCCTTAGGCACCTTGGAAAAGCCTAGTGTCAGGGCAGTCTTGCTCCCATCATGGTCAATGTTCATTTTGCCACTGATCAAGAGAGCAAAGGCAGCACCTCCCCTTTCATACGCTAATGGATGGTTCCGGAGGAGTGAAAGGAAATCCTGCCTTGCCCACTGGCCACACCAGCAGAAGAGCTTTGGGAAGCACGGCAGGTGACTGAAACCGTTAGGGCTTTTGGTTCAGCTGCCATCGAGCCGGACCGTCCCAGATTTTGGTGTGCAGAGATCTGGGAAGCGCTCTGAGATCTGCTGATGAAAAGTGCTGTGTCAGAGCTAGGTGGTGGCTTTGGTAAGTGATTAAAATTCTCTGCTCAGCAGGTGCGTAAGGGCAGCAACTATTGATACAGTCCCTAATGGCCACAGATATACTGTGCTCCAGCTTTGCTGCTGGCCCACGGCGTGTGGGTGTGAATCCCAAGTCCAGCCTCTGTGGAGAACCCGGCACAAAGATCACTTCCCTGGGCCTTGCGTGGACTGGGAACCCACAGCCCCACCCCCTGCCCTTCCTGCCGGCAACCCACGGCCCTGACCCCTTCCTGCCACCAACCCACAGCCCCGCCCCCTGCCCTTCCTGCCACCAACCCACAGCCCCCTCCCCTGCCCTTCCTGCTGGCAACCCACAGCCCTGACCCCTTCCTGCCACCAACCCACAGCCCCACCCCCTGCCCTTCCTGCCGGCAACCCACAGCCCTGACCCCTTCCTGCCACCAACCCACGGCCCTGACCCTTTCCTGCCCGCAACTCACAACTCTGCCCTTCCTGTAGGGAACTTATGGCTCCACTCCTCCTGTCATGAACCTACAGCCCCACTACTTCCCTTCCCGTCGGGAGCCCACGGCCGTGCCCCTGCCAGGGCCGGCTCTGGCTTTTTTGCCGGGGGGGGGGGGCGGCCGGAGCCCCTGGGGGAGGGTGGCGAGCCCCGGCGGCGGCTCCGGTCTCCCCCCCAGCGGCCAGAGCGCCGGGGGCAGGGCCGCGAGCCCCGGCGGGTGCTCGGCTCTCCCCCCCGGCGGCCAGAGCGCCGGGGGCAGGGCCGCGAGCCCCGGCGGGTGCTCGGCTCTCCCCTCCCCCCCCGGCGGCCAGAGCGCCGGGGGCAGGGCGGCGAGAGGGCGGCGAGCCCCGGCTGGGGCTCGGCTCGGCTCTCCCCCCGGCAGCCAGAGCGCCGCGCCGCCCCCCTCCAGGTGCCGCCCCAAGCACCAGCTTGGGTGCTTGGTGCCTGGAGCCGGCCCTGGCCCCTGCCCTTCCTGCCAGCCATGCCCTCTCTTCTTTGGTGCAATGCAGAGCTCCACAGAGCACCGGGGCTAGCGCATCCCCTGGATGGCTTTTCCTGGGTCTGGCTTCCACAGGAATGCATCATTTCTGCTACATATCAGGCCTGAGCTGCCTATGGATGGAGGACAGAATCTGTCCCTCTGCGTATTTCTCTGAACGATGGCACATTCAGTAAGGGAGCTGAGGTTCCTGTAGATGCTCTCAGAACTCAATCATCATGCAAGGTGCTGAGCCATCCTGATGGGTGCTGAGCACCCTCCACACCCACTGACTTCGATGGCAGCTGAGAGCAGTGCACACATCATGGGGAGCCCAGCAACCAGGAGGATTGAGCCCCAGGAGCAGCTGTGGGAATATCACCGTCCCATAGGCTCAGCCGTTCCGTTGAAGGTGCCATCCCAAGTGGGACTGCGGGGAGGAAAATGCCAAATGGCGAATGTGTAATCACTGCAGTAATATTTCTGCCTGTCTGCAGAGCTCCACACAAGTGACTGCTTTTATATGGTGTACGTTGCTATCTAGTGTGTGACAGGCATTTTTAGAGTCAGTAGAATACGGCAGACTGAACGTGCAGAATTTGTTCATTTCAAAGCTTAGAACCCGGAGATTTGTAAACCAAATTGCTTCACAGACGTCAAAGGTGCTAATCCTTAGTCTTTGCCAAGTTTGAAGGCTTTTTCTTTAAAAAGAGCCATTTTGATGTATGTGAGCACAAACAGAGCACCTGAAATAGTCTTGTGAAAAATGCCTTTTTTTCCTTTGGATTTTTTTTTGCTCAAGTTGAGGTTTTCTCAAAAAGAGCCAGATGGAGTTTAACTCACTACTCAGAAACATTCAAGTGGAGAACAAACAGTGGGAATTTCAGCCCCCAAGGATAATTTGTTCAGGAAATCATATGGGCGTGATCGGAAGCCTATAGAAGTAAACAGAAAGTTTCCTATTGACTTCAATAAGCTTTGGATCAGAAAGGAGGGCTTATAATAGAAAGCATCTTCTTGAGAATTACTGTGTTGTTGCTGGGGAAACATGAAACAACACACACCTTTGGTGTATACGTTTTAAACAGACATCTGGGGTGAAATCCACATCAATGGGGATTTTGCCACTGAGCATAAGGGAGTAGGAGTTCACCATTGGTTACCAAACAGGGCCCCAATCCTGCAACGAGATGAGCATGAGTGTAGGGTGTATCCACATTCATCTTGCTCCAGGATCAGGCCCAGCTACCTCCGCTGGAAGGTGGGAGGAGATGCTTCCATATTTCTACGCCAAGTATCTTACTGGCTGATCCGTTCGATTGATCCCGATGAGGAAGAGGAGCTCGGCCACAAAGAGGCTGATGCACAAGTTCTTGTGAATTGTGTTCCTGTCACTCTGGAGCCCGCGGAAAAAGCAAAAGGTGAAGATGCAGATCAGGAGGCAGACGAGTGACAGCAGAATGCCGACCCACGTGATCACATCCAGGAGCAGGTCGTGGACTGTGTCGCTGTGCTGGAGACACAACAGAAAAAGAATCAGTCACACGCTGCACGTCAGCTAATCAATACTGAAAAAAGCCAGGTTGTCTGAGACGCTTTGATAGACTCCTGTATCCACTTCCCAAGCACTGGCACAAGGGACCGATAGCTAATGAAGGGTATTAGGACTAAAACTACCCAGAATGGACTTCTGCATTAATGTAGCCCCAACCTGAAAGCCGCACTCCATTCTCTCCCTTTCTCTTTGCTTGGGTTTGTTTGTGAATTCAGCAGTAAGGCAGTGGGGCAGGTACCTGAACAGACTCAAATCCCAAGATTGGGTCGCAGGGATCATTAAGATAATGTATGTCTCATGCCCAGCTTGTGGCAAAAACAGGGGTTATTTTCCTTTCTTTTTTTCACAAGGGAAGGCGAAAAAATATTGATTTCTCAAACCCTGGAGCTGGGAACCCAAAATGAATATCGGAACAATATCCTGGATAAACAGAGACCTTTTATTGACCATTTTGTTTTTCAACCCACATTTAACCAGGATTTGAATGTGGCTCAGAAATTGTGTGTTCCCCCTTGCGACGTGGTCTAGTTTCTGCTTACCCAGAAGTAATGTCCACAAGGTCACTACTGCAGGGATGTTCCCCTTTCAGGCTACCATATGCCCGAAAACCAGCAGCAGCAAAGACTGGTTTAGGGGATAGGCCAGGAGCTCTTACGGGGGAAAGCAGGATGCTGGGGTCCACCAATAAAATGCCACTGGACCTATTTCTGTGTTTGTCCGTGCATTTGCTTCCCAAACCAGAGCACGGACACCTGGCACTCATCATGGAAGCGAAGGACATGGTGTTTTGCAACGGGGAAAAGTCTATGACAGATGGAGGGGAAAGTTGATTCATTTACCCTTTTTGTTGCCTCTCTGCCAATGATAAAGCCACATCAGTGTCAGGCACTTATTGATATACACTCCTGCTATGTCAGCACCCATCAAAAACAAGTCAAACCCTTTCAGCACTTTGGCTTTATCGGCACGATTGATAGGCATCAAATGAGAATGAAAGATGGTGAGTGACTTCTTTCTTCCCCCTAGAGGCTGTTTATAACGAGTCAACTCTGTGACTAGACAGAGATTACGGGAGGTTTTATTCCCACAGCACTCCTGCCATTTTTCTTGGGAATTTGGAAGGTTTAAGAGACTCTATGATTGCAGAGGTGCCACAAGGGCACAGATTTAACATATGTCTATTGCAACAGCAACAAAATGGGTTGTGAGTTCAATCCTTGAGGGAGTCACTTAGGGATCTGGGGCAAAAATCTGTCTGGAGATTGGTCCCGCTTTGAGCAGGGGGTTGGACTAGATGACCTTCTGAGGTCCTTTCCAACCCTGATATTCTATGTCTATTACATCCCCACTGCACACACAAGGCAGAAAGGGCATATTCTTTTCCTGACAGAGGTGCATTGTTTTATCTCTGTGTAATTCCACACTCGTTACTTTCCTCTTAACTTGGTGCAAAAATATTAATACAAATCCTGATCCTTGCCTTTGCTCTGCTTTGCAAGAAGCTGCTGGGAAGCGGTGGATAACATCTCCCCTAACAGCCCCGCTGCAAAGCAGGCCAGCTCGCCTGATTAGAAGGCAGTGCGAGGCAGAGCTTCAGAGAGCTGCGAGACACAGACACAGGAACTACACAGCTGGCACAGGCAGATAAAGGGGAGAGACAATCAGGTGAACTTCGGAAAGTGTGGATCGATTGCCCAAGGCTAACAGCACAAACGCAGTAACACTCCAGACAAAAAGTCAGTCTTGTACGTGGGGAGCTTTCCGGAGTTTTTCTTCGCCTGATAGCAGAGCGCCCCAGCTTCACGTGGAATGAGTGAGGACGCAGCCTGTTCCTTTTACACGCTTGGCTCCATGCACACACCAAGCATGTGTGGAATAAATGAAAACCCCAGGTCTCGCTTCTCCACTGCTCATCTGCCTGCAGAGTTATTTACACCTCTGAGTGCAAAGTGGGCATGAAAGGCTGTCCAGTCAGATCCTCAGGCACACTCCCCAGGTGGTGAAAAACGGTCCGACAGCTCCCCAGGACCATGCAGGAGAGGAGAAGAGGAGAGGTCAGAGGGATTCTGTCACCAGGGCCACTTATAATGCTGGTATAGGGGGCGGGGGGAAGAGATCTCTTATCCTTCACTGGTTCTGGACCACACAGGGACTGAGCTGAGAAAGGGTTGGGTAGTTTGGGGCAGGTGAAAAAGATAATTCTTCTCTCAGGCAGCTAACACCTATGGGAGGATTAGTAAGGAGCTGTGCTGGTGATCTCCAGTGCACAGCCCTTGAACAGAGGCATGGCCCCTTGTTCCTGCCCGCCTGCCCTCCCCCCGCTCAGTGCAAGCCAAAGGAGGCTGGGCATCACCGCACCCCGAGGCCAAACTGGCCCACTTTGCTTTCTATTGATCATCACTCTCACCTTACAGTGCCCAAGCTCTAGCACAGTCAGATCTGCTGTAGGAGAGAGGGCAGAGCCACCATCCCAGTCAGCAAACACCTAGGGGTGCATGCCCTGGGTTGGGAGCCAGGAGATCAAGGGATCTAGTCTCACCACTCCTACTGACAGCAGTCACTGTATAGCACCATAAATATGACACCCTCTTAAGTTAGGATGAGAACCCTGGGATAATTGTAACTGTTGGAATGAATTTATATTGCCAAACATGGAATGTAGAAGTGAGCTGGGAAGTTGTGTTAATATTTGTATTATTGTTGTGTTTTTATTGCTGTCATTTTGGTTAATGGGAACTGTCCCTGTAAGAACTGGGTTGGGCAGCTGATGGTAGAAGACAGAGGTGGGAGATTTTGCCCTCGTGCCAAGGAGTGGAAGATTCTGTCTGTGTAGCCTCTAGGAAAGATCAGAACTTGATTTGATAAATGCATCTTTCCAGGCAGCAAGCCTCATTCTCAAAGGTGTGACACGGGCACTTCCTGGGGGCCTGGATGCCTCAGTGCATTGCTACAGAGCCTTTCACCTGTGGGCCACTACAAGCTCCTGTCCAACAGAGGCCTGATGGCCCCTATGTGGGATGAGTTTGTGGGTGTCAGTTCCAGCTCCCACAGCACAAACTCAGCATCACACTTTGCAATGACTGTCAGGCCTGGTCTACACTGGGGAGATGGGGGGAATCGATCTAAGTTACGCAACTTCAGCTACGTGAATAACGTAGCTGAAGTCGACGTACTTAGACCTACTCACCACGGTGTCTTCACTGCGGTAAGTCGACGGCTGACGCTCTCCCATCGACTCCGCCACTAGCCCTCGTGGAGCACCAGAGTCGACGGGAGAATGCTTGGCGGTTGATTTATCGCGTCTAGACTAGACGCGATAAATTGACCCCTGCTGGATCGATCGCTGGCCGTCGATCCAGTGGGTAATGTAGACAAGCCCTCAGACTCAGCAGAGAGGCCAAAGACTGCATGGGCCATGGAGACTGTTACCCCTAGAGACGAAGTCCCCAAAGCCTCCAGACCAAAGCTCACGCCTGATGGTGAGGCAGCGTATGTGGGAAGCTTGTCCAGCTTTTAAACCAGGACTTCATTGACCAGGGCTGTTAAACTGGCCTTTCAAGAGCACTAAACCTCCACATTTATTACGCTGAAGTTTATGGTTATATAAAACTTATTTTAAAAATGTAAATTAACTCATTAAATAATTTGCATAAAATATCACACATAGCGCCTGTAACAGGGCAGCCACCCTCGGGCCCCTCCAAAACAGTCTTGGATGTCTCTTGATTGTCAACACCTCTGTGAGTTTGTATTGATGTGATCTCCGCCACGCTGCCACACAAACCCCGTGTGGCATTTCCACCTGCAGTGTCCTTCAGTCCTCAGCACTTCCTTCAGGGGGAAGGGGAAGAAGAGGAAGCGATCTCACCAGCCAGAGACCTGGCTTCCCCTGAACTCCGCTAGCCCTCGCTCCTTCCCTTTGCACATCCTTCCTGAGCTTCTGAACGACCTTCTCTGGGATTCTGTGGGGGAGCTACTTAGTCCCTAACGACGACTATGCTGCAGCGTAAGACCAGGGTTGGTAGAACTCGAGTCGAGTTTGTCAATCTAGGGCTTGAGCATCTACACTCATCTGTAACCCTAGGTTAGGAATTGTTGCACCCTGTGTCCCAAACTGGGACTCCAGCATCTACACTGCATTTTGCAGGCCTGAGTCTAACCAGACTTCCTAGCACCCTCCCAAAATGGGGCTGCGCTAGCCCTGTGCTTGTGGGGCAATGTGGGAAAATCGACCATCCAGAGGACAAAGAAAGTTGGCCCATGGGATACTTTTGGCACACCCAGAGCATGAGTCCAGCAGGGCTGCAGCTACACTGCAAAGCAACAGGACTTGAGCCCTGGGTCCCAGCTTGACTTGGGCTTGGACCCTCCACCCCTGTGTGGTCTGGGACCCTGGGTACGAGCCCTGGGTTAGCACAATTTATGTGTTGGTGGAAGCCTGAGTTCAACCCCTGGGTTTACTCTGCAGTGTCGAATACCCTCAGTGACCAGCATGCTGGGTCAGTGGCTGGCTCTCCGTGCTCTGTCACCACACTGCTCAAAAGCCGGCAGCTGCTCTTTGCTGGGTTCCAAACCTCTAGACAGGTTTATTTTACAGAACCAAAGTGCTTGATGAAATTCAAAGAACAAACCAATCAACCCAACAACTTTTGTATTTGTGACAAGCTTTATATCTAGGGTTGGAGTTCGGGGCCTGATCCTCGTCCACGCAAAGACTCCCCTTGACTCCCACAGCTTTTGGATTGGGCTCCAAGTTGTGTCGGTGGGGGAAGCAGACTGGTTGAAACAGAACACTGCTTTGAAAACCGTTGTGTGTGTGTGTGTGTCACAGACCTGGCTGCCAAGTCCACAGCAGGGTGAGTAGGCAGCCCAGAAATTGCTCAGGCTGTGGAATGTGTTAGAGATGAATGACGATTCCAGCAGTGCACTGCCTGTGCTCCAGAGCAGAGTTAATAAAA